CTTTTGTCCAACCTATTCCAGTAGGCCTCACATATTATTCCCGTTTCTGGGGTCACATCCATCCACGATGTCTGGGAATGCCATTTACGTTTAATTATTGTTGTCCAAGTTTTCAGAAGAATCTGTCCCATGGCATCAACAGACTTCTACTTTTCACCATGAGGCGTTTAAGATCTTCGACATGAGGACTTTTTAACTTCCTGGACAGGGTAAAACGGCTAAATTGTCTTTTGTATTTTTCAAGGTATTGGGGCAGTAAATACATTGCGAACCTTCCCGAATTCGTTGGAAGCCGTAGAGATAATCTAAATGTCTTCTTTGGTATTGGATACCAGTTTATTTAGGTTTAGTTCAGTGTCGCACCGAAGACCAGAATTTTATCCTAAGATGTATTTCTGAATCTAGGAATAACTATGACCTCAGGGAATGGGAGATTGTTTGGTTCCATTGAAATCATGAATCGTTCGGTTCTAGACCATCTTTGGGAACCTAGAAGCACTGAGCAGCCATTTAATCATAATATGAGGCTCATCAACAGTGCGCAATCACAATTACTGTACGCAGGAATCCAACCTAGGAGTCTCGGTCATACACCCATTAATTTTGAAACTAATGTTTTCCAGGACAGTTTTGCTTGGTGCTCTATGAATTAAGGAACACAAGATCCACAAGAATCTTGACCAGTCACCAAATTTTTCACAAAATCTTCAGTAAATCGAACAACTTACTATCAGTGATATCGAAGGCCAATGAAGGGCTGCCGAACGAACAGATGAGGGTGTACATCGAAAAGAACAAGATACTTCATGAAGCTCAACATGATTTTCGGATACGCAGGTTGTGCGGCTCTAATCTTATCACCGCATGGGACAGTCAGATATGCTTCTGGGACCGAAAAGTAATGAAAGGGCTGGTGAACGAACAGATGATGGAGTACATGGATAAGAACAAAATCATCCATTAAGTTCAACACGGGTTTCGGAAATGAAGCTCATCCGCACCCAATCTTCCCATAGCATGGCAAAGTAGGACATCCTACGGAGACCGAAAAATACCGGTGCACATAATATTTCTTGACTTTTCCAAAGCCCTCGATACGTTTAATCGCGAATGTTGTTGAAGTAGGCTTCACATAACATATCTGGACTTTGAAAAAGCCGTCGACACAGTACAGCACGCCTAATCGCGAAGGTCGAGGAAGTAAGCTTCACTGAGCCACACGTATCTTGGCTCAGAAACTACCCTCAGAATAGAAAGTTTCGTACCAAGGCAAATAGAGTGCACGCGGGCTGGCGAGTATCCACACCAGGAGTTTCACAGGGGACCATCGTAGGTCCACAGAGACGCAAATGTCAAATCAAATCCCAATGTAATAAAGATAGTAGAGGTATTAATGGTAATGAAGAAGACTAAGGTTTGAAGATATTATTCAAGAAGTATAATTCAGTGAGATGTGGTTAGAAAGACAAAGGTAGAGGTGCTGACGAATCCAGAAGATTAGGATTTGAGAGAGCTCAAAGAATGGATGCACTTGCGCCATCGCAAACGATTCTGAGCCATGTCATTCAAGGTCTCTAACCATTGGTGACTATCGTCTCGCGGACCTCAACCAGGTAGTCTACATCTACCAACATGACTCAGTCCACTTGTCAGTGACTTCATGGATTTGTGCCATGTTTTGGTCTGACGCCCCTAGCTTTCTTCCAATCTACACCGACACCACAAAACATATCTCATCGAGGCAGTCGGTGGTTAGGCATTCGTAACACATGTCCGAACCACCTCAACTGATGAAGTTTCATTACTTCATCTATTGATCTGCCATTCTTACCTAGTACTCGTTTCCTAACGACAGCATTGCTTACTCGGTTGTCCCACGATACACAACCAATTCTTCTAAGACATCTATGATCGAATACTAGTAACCTACGAACATCTACTCTTAACGGCCATGTTTCACATCCTGGTTCTAGGAAAGGAATCCCTGTCTATACGGCTAATAGATTACAGCGCTGGGCAACGATGCTCCTGAGTTATGATTTCAATGTCAAGTATCAGTCGACAAATACTATCGGTCAAGCGGACTCTCTGTCTCGATTAATTGGGGTTCAGCATCCTGAACCAGAGGACATAATCATTGCCTCAACAGCAGTAGACCCAGAAATAAGGAGTGTAGTAGCAGACGCCATTCGAAACACTCCAGTGTCTTCAGAGGAAGTCAGAGAAGAAACTCTTCGAGACCCACTTCTACAAGAAGTTAGAAAGTTTCACCTGGAAGGTTGGCCTTCGAAGATCAACTCTTCAGAGCTTCAACAGTTTTACCAGCGTAGACTCTCTCTTTCAATCATCGACGACTGCCTGCTGTTTGCCGAACGAGTCATAATTCCAGCGAAGCTACAACCAGCAGTGCTAAAACAGTTGCACGTGGGACATCCTGGAATAAGTCGCATGAAAGCACTAGCACGAAGTTATGTATACTGGCCGCACTTAGACACCCAGCTAGAGCAGCTATCCCGTTCGTGTACCAAATGTGCATTAGCAGCAAAAGCACCGCGCAAAGCAGAGTTGCAATCATGACCAATACCACAGTCACCGTGGCAGCGTATACATTTGGACTTTGCTGGCCTACTTCATGGACAAACTTACCTTCTGGTAGTTGATGCATACAGTAAGTGGCCAGAAATTTTCTTCATGAAACACCCAACTGCAAGGTGTACAGTCAATAAATTACGTAAACTATTCAGTCGTTTCGGAGTCCCGGAATTGATAGTTACTGACAACGGGACACAGTTTACGTCCGCTGTCTTCTCGCAATTTTGCCGACAGAACGGAATCGATCACGTCCGAACACCTCCATTCCATCCGCAATCTAATGGTCAAGTAGAACGCTTTGTGAGCACATTTAAAAATGCTCTAAAAAAATCCAAAGGGGAGGGGACCACCGAAGAGATCTTAGAGAGGTTCCTGCTTATTTATCGCTCTACACTGAACCCTCAGACGATTGACGGAGTCTCACATGCGGAAGCTCTACTTGGTAGAAAATTACGAACACATTTTGATGTCATCCGTCCTACACCAGCTCTTGAGCCTCGGCGAAACCTGTCGATGGAGAAGCAGTTCAATCGACACCATGGGGCAAAAAGACGATCGTTCACAGTGGGCCAGAAAGTACTTGCTATGGACTATCGTGGAAAACATCCTGCATGGACAGCTGGTCGGATTTTAAAAAAGAAAGGAAACGTGACTTATGAGGTGTCAGTTGGCTCAGAAGTTTGGGTACGTCATGCTAACCAACTGAAAGCAACTTCGATAGCCAGCAACGGGACTCGGCACCGAATACCCCTCGACGTTCTGCTGGACACCTTCAAAATCAAAACGCCTGGAACACACAAGTCAGTTTCTGTGCAAGCAAAGAGTGACACAACTTCGTTATTGCCGAGAAGATGGAGTAATCGAAAGTACAAGCCAGTCACTCGGTTGCAGTTGGACCCTAGCACCAGATCCTACAAATCTTCTCAAAGGGGAGGTGTTAGTGGGACATAGATGAAATTAAAGCACGACTACGTTGCTGCGCGCTGATTGGCTAATTTCCTACCCAGTCAGCGCCTGATCGAAGCTTGGAGAACAGGATAGAAAATTCTCGTATTATTAGCTGCATGCTGGTTGGTCAAATGCAGTCCAGTCGATCACGTGAATTTTCTTCCAGAAGTTTTCTCATCTAAAGGCTATAAATAGACTCGCATTGTATTTATCTTGGCCATCTTAGCCTTCTTCGCCTTCAAGCCTTCTTGCTTTCTTTGCCTTGGCTTTCGCCATCACCTCCAGCTTCTTTTTCATTGCTATTTTGGAATACAATCCTTCCTGTTCAACCGTGTTCTGATTTGGGTTTACTTGTCCAGTGTTTTCTGTCAAGAATACTAAGCAATAACATTTAGCCGGGAAATATCTTAAGCAACCGTTACAACACATCCATATAAAAGAACAAAGCGAACTGCTGCGCAGTAAACTCGTCCTTTGGTTAGAGAACGGATATCACGCCTACGCCATAAGTGACGCAGGTTGGCAAACGCCGATCGAGCCTTCTGTATCCGAGCTGAGATTTCGTCAGTCACCAGGCTATCAGCACTGATGAGACTCCCCACATAAGTGAAATGATCAACACGATCGACTACTTCACTCCCTATCACTAGTTCAGGTGCCAATGCAACCCAGTCTTGAAGCAACATTTTGTATTTCGACGGGGAAAACCGCATACCCAATATGTTCGCATTGTTGCTTAGGATAGTCAGAAGACTCTGCATTTTGTTAGCGTCTTCACCGGATAGAACTATGTCATCGGCATATTCTAGATCAGTAAGAGACTTTCCTGGTAGAAGGTCAACCCCTGAAAAATCTGACGAGCTTAATGTTAACTCTAAGAGGATGTCTACAACAAAGTTAAACAAGAACGGAGAGAGTGGACAGCCCTGACGGACACCACTTGATGTAGAGAATTCAGATGACAGTTCGCCATAAGCTCTCACCCGACCAGTGGTATTCGAGTAGAGTGCTTGTATAAGGCTAATGTACTTCTCTGGTACACCTTTCAATGACAGACACTGCCACAGAACCTCACGATCCACTGAGTCAAATGCCGCTTTTAGGTCCAGGAACACGACTATTGTCGGACGTCTAAATGTGTGTTTGTGTTGCAGGACCTGTCGTAGTGTGAAGATGTGGTCTATACAACCACGTCCAGGTCGAAAACCAGACTGGTTTTCTCGAGTCTGCTCTTCACGAGCTCTAGTTAGACGTCTCAGTATAATCTAGGCTAATAATTTGGAAACTATATTAGTTAAAGTTATTCTCCTGTGATTGTCACAAGGGGACTTTTGTTCTTTCTTATAGATTGGGACAATTAGCAACTGAGACCAGTCAGATGGGACGGTTTTAGAAATAGTGGTAAAGATATTGTATCATGGATTATGGACATAATTCTGTGTTGTCCGTCCGTTTGTTTTACTACATACGAACATTGATGAAGCACTAGTTTTGGATTGAAAAATCAAGTCGCCTGCTTCGATTTGAGGATGGCTGACCAGAACCCGGTGGCATGTTTTAAACTGGTTCTTGTTGGAGATGGTGGAACTGGAAAGACTACATTTGTAAAACGACATATTACTGGAGAATTTGAAAAGAAGTATGTCGGTAAGTTCCTAATGTTATAATTAAAATCTTTGAAGCAACTTTGGGTGTTGAAGTTCACCCTCTTGATTTCCACACAACTCGTGGCAAAATGAGATTTAATGTGTGGGATACAGCAGGACAAGAAAAATTCGGTGGTCTCAGAGATGGCTATTATATTCAAGGGCAGTGTGCAATAATTATGTTTGATGTGACTAGTCGTGTCACGTATAAAAACGTCCCTAACTGGCATCGTGATTTAGTTCGGGTCTGTGAAAATATACCAATCGTATTGTGTGGTAACAAAGTTGACATTCAAGACAGAAAAGTGAAGGCTAAGTCCATAACTTTCCACAGAAAAAAGAATCTCCAAGTGAGTCATCTACACGTTGAAGATATTTTAGTACTATGATATATCGGCTAAATCTAACTACAATTTCGAGAAGCCATTCCTCTGGCTTGCTCGCAAATTGGTTGGCGATCCGAATCTCGAGTTTGTGGAGATGCCTGCAATGGAACCACCAGAAATTCAAATTGATCCTAATTTGGTCAGGCAATACGAGCACGAAATCCAAGTAAATGTGTTTATATGTTATTCATATTTTAGATGGCTGCTGAAGCTCCTCTTCCAGATGAAGGTGACGAAGATCTGTGATTTACAAGTCAGATGTAAGCAGAGCCGCAGATTTGCTAATAATTAAAATTTAATGTAATAAATCTATTATAATGTGTACCTAATTGACGTGTTACCTGAGAAATTGGTATTTTACTTGTTTTTGATTCCATGATGAACGATTGATTTTTCGATATCGATAGTTTCTGTATGGGTGCTCGTTGCTCTGTTTATGAGAAATTCCCTGCGTGGAATAATTTTCACTAGTTGTGTATGCACGCTAGCATTACAATCATTTAATTACTATTGTGGAAATCGATACTTGGTTAAAATACGGTTAGATTTTGTATATAGAGCCAATTCAATTAATACCTTTCAACCTGTTCAGCTATGAGTGTGCTAACCTGTGGTATCGATTTATGTAACGGTTTTGTCTTCGCTACCATGTACTTCTCGCTACATACACTGAAATGTAAACTGACTGCGTTGCAATCGTGATTGCCATTGCTACAGATTTTCAAGTTTGGTATTAGGACGTAGTTGGTAAGTTATTTTACGTAGGATGAGTATGTGGTCAGTCGAACGAAGTCGATATAAAATCGTTTTCATAACGCTAGGTGTCCTGATGGCAGATAATTTAGGCTCATGACCTGTCGTATTGTGAAGATGTCTATACAGCCACGTTCGGGTCGGAAACTAGCCTAGTTTCCTCTAGTCTGCTCTTCACGAGCTTACGCTAAGCGCCGAAGTATTATTGACGCCAATATTTTAGATACTATATTAGTTAGACTTATTCCTCTGATTGTCACAAGAAGATTTGTCATTTCTTATAAATTGTGACAATTTAGGCTTGAGAACAGTTCTCAAATTCTACCTAAGATCTCAGTTAATCTAACTACTAAACTAGACTACCATCCTTAAAAATCTCAGTTTGTTCAATTAGGACCCGAAGTTCTCCCCCGCTTCAGATTTTCTAGTCTTCTCAACTTCAGAGTTAGAGGACCGAAATCGACTTGCCATTCAGGATGGTTCGGGGTCGTGGGTAACCCGTCCAGCTGAAGGGTAGTTAGGTTGATCCCTGAACTGTTCTGTCCGATCTTATGGATTGAGAATTAATAATAAGACTATTCTTTGCCGAGGTAGCCTCACTTATAGTCGGATTCCTAACACTGGTTTTCTTGATGAGCCTGAATATTAGTCTACTGTATCCTATCGCAGTTGCCTTTCACATCAGCCCAGTTTCTGCCACCCATCACTGTTCGCAATCTCTGCGTAAGCTTTTTATCAGTCTGCGCTCCAGCTGACTCCGATCTTCGTCATGTTCAGAGCCAGGTGGAATGAGTCTGCGAGAGTCTATCGATTCGGGAGATGCTACTGAGATCCGCAGCTTCTTGCTGGCCTTATGATTTACCTTACTAGCAGATATCACTGCTGTTTCCACAACCTTGGTGTCATTTCAAGCTGCCTCAAAGTTCGCATCACTTACTACATAGCTGCTTAACTGTTTTTCTAGTTCCTGAAATATATGTTTTTGGCTTTATTATCATTAGGTAGATCCCGAAGAGGTTTTCTTGCGTCCAGTAAGGCGCAAACAAATACGCGCTCGCTCTAAAGCGTGACCTGAGTCTAAACAAGTGCTCCAGAATGAGCGGCAGTTCTCTATCGAAACTGTCTGTCGGTGGCTGGCGGCAATGTAATCTAGTTGGGATCGCCAGGTCAAAAGGTGTTCTTAGCTAATGCTCTAAATTAGTGTTTTGCTTGGAATACGCGGTTATCTGAGCATAGCTGTCTCAGACGGTCGCCATTATCCTCCTAGGTGTCTTTCCTTTTCGCTGAGACCACCAACTTGAGCGTTAAAGTCACCAGCCACTAAAACTTGTCTTTCATGTAGTCTGAACTGCAGTCTCTGAGAGCGTAGACAGATACGACGATGAGGCGGCGGCGACTGTTACTGTCATTCAGAGTACGTACCGTCTCGTTTAGTCGTAATGCGACTGTCTACTGGGATCCAGTCTTTTAGAGGCAGTTCTGCCTTAACACTTAATACAGTACCTATCCCAGCGAGGCCACATAAAGCGGCATCAGGGCTCTCAGAAACACGAAGCGTAAACCTTGTGTCTAAGTCTGCACTAGGTGAGGTCAAATTGATCATTTTACTCGGGCCTTGCATGCGCGTTTCGGAGACACAACATTCATCAATTGCACGGGATTCCAGAGTTCTAGCTAAGGAAACCTGTCAATCTATTTGACTCAAGGTTAAACATTAAAAGCTCCAACATGTTCTTTAGAACGGGGTTTCAAGAGACCAGGAATCATGTTTCGTGAGGTGATATCGTTTGCTTCAGTGGCGTGGAGATAAACGATCGAAAGAATGGTTGGTCGAGGAGATAGGGCAGTTATTGAGAGGTGTAAGAAGGATTTGGTTGTGACCGATTCGCTTTCGTGTGCTTTCATGAGGGTGGGTGTTACTTCCCGGCTGCACACCGTGTAAGGGCGTTTCTTGAGGAACCTGAATATGAAGGTAGATTAGCGTTGGTCCTAACGACCTGTGAGCGTGACCGCAGAGCCCAACGGACGATTGCTTGAGTCCGGGAGGTTGTCTGAGTATTAGCTCTGCTCTCAAAGGCCCTTAGTGGGAAGCCCTAACCGCAGGAGGCGGAAATCCGTGGGGTGTGACATTTCTACGGTCGACCTTTTCTAACCTATACGGTGTAGTGATGTTTAGTTCGTTTCACCTTTACCTTGATAGTTTAGGAGATTTTATGTTCCTACATACCAACAATTGTATAATGCCTTGAGTTTTTTTAACCGCCTTATTGTTAACGAACTGCGCGATTTATGTAGCATAGAGAAACACCCACTTTGTGTGAGACTGTGATAGACACGGTTACAGAACATCAAGACCAACGGAGTCAAATGCCCCTTTGGTGTCTATGAAGGCAACTTTTTTCGCACGCCTGGACCTGTGTTTATGTTCTAGGGCCTGACGTACTGTGAATATCTGGTCTATACATCCACGTCAAGGTCGAAAACAGTCCTGGTTTTCTATAGTCCAATCTTCACGAGCTCTAGTTTGGCGTTTAAGTATGATCGACTCTAACGATTTAGGAACTAAATTGTTCAAACTAATTCCTGTGAATTTCACGCGAGGACTATTGTCCTTTTTTATAAACTGCGACAATCAGCGTTTGAGACTTATCATAGGGTATCAGGTCCGTTTCTCAAATTTTACCTAAGATATCATTTAATCTTACTGCTGATACCGGACCACCATCTCTACAATCCTCAGGGGTCAATCCACCAGGGCCTTCTGTTTCTCTCTGGCTTCAGATTTCGTATGGCTTTTGAGACTCCACTGTTATCGAATTGCCACTCAGGTTTTCTGGAGATCGTGAGTATCCGAGTTAATTTTCCGTCTGGATATGGTGAAATCAAATTAATCACTGTATTGAGCTTCTGTGTGCGCGTTTAGGATATACAGCATACATCGATGGAGTAGGACTTCAGAGTCCTAGCTAGGGAAGCCTGTCAACCTATCTGTCTGAAGGTTGATCATTAGAAGCTCCAACATGATCTTTAGAACGGGGCTTCAGGAGACGAGGAATAACGTTCCTTTACTCGGATCGTCTGTAATAGTGGTGCAAGGTGATACAGGAATGTGAGAAAGGTGAGTCGTGCAAATAAGAGAGATGTTAGGGGGTGTCCGAATTTTTAGATGTGACCAATTTGGTCTCGTGTGCTCTTATGGGTATGATAGCAGATGTCACTCCCGGTTGCCCATACCGTGGCAGGGTGTTTCTTATAAAACCTGTAAAAGAAGGCAGATTGAAATTGGTCTTCGAGACGTGGGACGTGACCGCAGTGCCCAAGGGACAACTGCTTGACTCCGGTCTCGCACGGCCTTTTTATTGGTGGTCATTAAAGATTAGCTTCGCTTTCTTTTTAAAGGTCTTACCGCCGGAGACGGTAATTCGTGTGGTAGGGTGAGGTGTGACAACTTAGGGTCGGTCTTAACTAAATTCTTGCTTCCTTGTGAGAAGGCAGTATCGCTGCAGATGCTGGTTTCCCGAGGGAAACACCCTACTGCTGTCACACCCCTCTGTAGTCAGCATTACGACTTCGCCCGCATACCTTGTGTAGCAGCTTTTAGTCTCGTCGTTCTCCAATCGACCTGCTTGGCATGGTAGAACATATGTTCGGGCCAATATAGCTCGATTGGGTCATCACGATAGGCAAGCCTGGCCACCACGTAAAGGTAGCATTTGCGGTCGGAAATAGTTAATAGTGATAAAGCAATTCTTTCTGCTTAGAGTTATATATGACCACATTCAAATGTGTATTGCTTAACACATCCTAAAGTGATCCTCGGGTTTTTATTTTCTATGTGATTGTGTTATTGCACACAAGAATACTTTTGGAAACGTTCTTTATAGTTGCTTTTAAGAGGTATATTTTATTTTGAGGTTATTCTGTTGTACTGGTTTGTTTGTAAATTCATGTAATTAATTTGTTTCATCCATCCTCATCTTCATTTTTCCCAGTTTACTTGAAACAAAGCGAACAAACGTGCGTTCAAACATTATTCGTAAGCTAACTCATTCTCAGTAAAACGTATTCGAAACCATCTTTCGTTATATCCCGCAAAATATATGTATAGAACGTTTGTGACTAGGTTAGAGATAAATGTCTTTACAAATATATTAGATTTCTTGACGCAAGAATGTTCGGTATATATATATATATATATATATATATATATATATATATATATATATATATATATTTGGCTTTTCAATTTTTCGTTCATCGATGTATATAATAGGTACATCGGTATTTGTAGAACGCGTAAAGCGAATAATCAAAGACGAGAATTGTTTTACATCTAAGTAGTTTAGGATCCTCCTGGGACGTGTCGATTCAAACTTTTTGTTGGTGACTTGAAATCTCGCGGGCATTATTGTAATATATATATATATTGATAAGAAAGGTGTCACTTTCGAAACAAACAGCTTTTAAACAACTATGCCAAAGCTGTATATTTTATTGCTAGTAATATAATATACTAGCGCGTGCCCTGAAATCTCGCACTTGCGGGGTCTGCGTAATGAACCCCCTATGCACTGTAATAGGGGGTATATAAATACATCTACTGACTCTGATCTAGTTGAAGTAGGCCTAACTAAATACATGTTCTTAAAGCGGTGCGGAAGTGGTTGAATCCATATTTAGTGAGAGTGAGGAGTGCCACATCGTGATAGTGATTTGATAGAAGTAGAATTCTGTGGTGGACTCAACAGGTTCAGACAGGGTGGGGGACATGAGATATCTGATTTGATGTTGACAATTCGGTAGTGAAGGAAAATCCCATATATTTTCCTCTTGTGTCTACTTGCTCGGTGTAAACATCCATGTAGTAGGTGTTTTCTGTTTTCCACTTTAAAATTAACCGTGCGGAGTTATTTATAACGTCCAGTCATTTTATTTAGCTATGCATACTTGAAACT